AGCTTATTCTTCTTGGGTGTCAAGCTCGAAATCATATCCTTCAAGCTTGCGGTGGGATCCCTGTCGTTCAGTTTTGGAGGCGAGATGAAGCCATCTTCTCTGTTCACCTCCTCTTCGCGTTCACGATCTACCTCCTCCTGAAGCTTCACGGGATCTTCGAAGCGTACACCCTGCTTTGACTGCTCCTGTGGAACAAACTCGGGTGCTTCTTCACCAATGGACCGGCGCTTATCCAGCATAGCAGCGACTCGAGGCGATCCAAGTCCCTCTTTGTCGATACCGAGACCAGAGGACCGCCTCTTCCCATGGGGTTGCAAGACAAAAAGAGGAGCCGGTTTTCCATTGACGCTCTCCCCAAACAGACTCTTGCGCCTGGGGGATGTATTGCTTGCGGATTCTTGTACCTCTGGCTGGGACAGCTTCGGTGGTGATGCATTTTCTGTACCTGCATCTCTGGAAGGGGTCGTTGTGTGTGTGTTCGAGGGTGCATTGCCTGTCGGCGTGGATGGACTAGGGGGAGAGACCATATCCTTCGGTGGAGATACCTGTGGGGTTTGTGGAGTGGGTGTAGTGGGCGCCGGATGGGTCAAGCTTTGCCTCGTTCGTCGGGCCCGTACACTTGCCAAGCTAGGGCTTCCACTTTCTGATGCCACAGCTGCAACATGAAACGATTTGGAAGAAGATTCGACTTGCGACTTGGCTGGCGACTTCGCTGGTGATTTGGCCGGCGACTTGGAAGGCGACTTGGAAGGTGACTTGGAAGGTGACTTGGAAGGTGACCTGGAAGGTGACTTGGTTGGCGACTTAGCGGGTGACTTATTAGGAGACTGCCGTACGGTCTCTTGAAATGGCGAACTACCCAGTTGAGCCGGCTTGGGTTCCGGGGTCGCTCGGTCTTCATCCGGTTCCGGTGGTTCTTGTTCTTGTTCTGGCTCTGGTTCTAGAATCTGTCCAACAGCAGTAGTCATATCCATGCCTGCGGTTTGGTCGTCATCTTCGGCTGCAATGCTCTCCTGAGTACCAGGGATAATGCCACCGATAGCTCCAGTAATCTCCATATCCATACCATCATCCATGTCATTCCCATTCTCACATTCAGACAAGACACGGTCGTTTTCACCTGAAGCGAAGGCTTCTTGTTGATCATCATAGTCGTTCTCATCTGCATTGTTGGCGACGCCAAGACTGTTCAAAAGGCCTCCGACAACGGATGTGAATTCCATAGTCATCTCTTCATCTCCGTTTCTACTTTCCGCCCCTATGGACTTCGCAGGAGAAACAGGCTGTGCAATACCTCCCACGACATTAGTGAATTCCATGGTCTGTTCTTCATAGTTAGTCTCCTCGCTAAGAGACTTGCGGCGCGCTTCACTCCTGCGTCGACTCGCTTGGTTGGGGAGAATTCGGCCAATTGCATTGGTAACCTCCATACTAAGATCCTCATCCATAGCATCATCCTCGTCATCTGCAGTCGGAGGAGCATCGAGCATGGGTTCAGAAGGCGGATCATTCTCTTGATCATACCGAGCGCTGATATCTGCCCAATCGAAACTCTCACGTTGGCCCTTCTTGATCCAAGGCTGAAAAGCACCTGTAATCTCCTGATCTGCGATTTCCATAGACATGTCTCCATCATCGTCCTCAAAGTCACGAGTTCCAGCTTCTCGAGCCGCTTGCCGCAAAGCTTCGTTCAAGCGAGCACTGCCAGTGGTGGCATCGGAACCATCAGAATGAACTGAGGCTGGAGAGTGAACTGACATGTCATCCAAGCTCATTGCGGTGCTTTCTCCGTCGAATCCAGAAGTCGATGAATTGTCGTCATCGTCGTCGTCGTCCTCTCTCTGTAGTCCAAGATCTTCAGTCCCGTCGGCTGAACTTCCGCTGAAGGGGCTTGAGAACATCTCCTGCGATTCATCGTAGCTTCCGTTGGTTGACTGGCTTTGGAGTTGCTGCAGGTCTGGATACTGCACGGGCGAGAAGCCGGCATCTGACTCTGCGTATGGATCGGGGGAGGATCGCGGTTCGGCTTGTTCGGCTTGGGGAGCAGGGGTCTGGTTTCCAGCTCCGGCTATTGATGAAGCGCGCCGTGTCGAGTTCGCAGCAGATGATGAAGTCGAGTCGTCGGGTATTTCTACCACGTTCCAAGTGTGCAATGTGGCTTCGGGGGCGAATGAGACACGGCGATTTGCTGTGATGTTGGGTCAGCGACATATAGATTGCGCAGAAATCAAGGTGACAAACCCATTGACTTCCGACGTGCCTCCCTCTTCTCAAGGATCATCTTCCGCTCCCGCTCCCGCTGCTCCTTTTCTTCCTTTTCCCTTGCGGCGGCCATCTCATCCCGAATGGATGTAGCGTTGAAGCTGTCGAAAGGGTTGGATCGGTCTTCGGAATTATTCGAAGCGGGCGCGGGAGTATCAAGGTCGATTAGGAGGCCTTCATCGCTCTGGGTATTGGTTTCATTGCTGAGACTCGGCTGCGATCCACGGGCCGGCGTCCGTTTGCGTGTTTCTTCAAATGTGGGAATAGTGCGCACGGGCGAGACGGGAACAGTTGGTTTGAGAATGGACTTCAAGGGAAAGGCTGCTGTGGACTACGCGACAACAAACAGTTACTTTGTAAGCAAGATACACGTGGTGAATGAGGGATAGGGGGACACCAAGTACCTTGCGGCGATTACCGTTGGAGTCCTGGAGCGCATCTAGACCACCAGGGCCTAAGCTTTTGCTACGAGACTTTTTGTCTCTAGCCATGGGTTTGGGGCGTCCATCAAGCGGTTGAGAGGAGCTGATTTCCGTCGTCGCATTTTCTTGGTCGAGGGTGGAGGTCAGTCTCGACCGCGGGATATGAGCAAGAGAGCGACGGGCTCGCGGGCGGAGAGACCCCGCGGAGTCACTTCTGGACGCCATGGGTTCACGCTGGAGCGGACATAGACGGTAGGGGGAGATGTAAGTTCAGGTAATTGTCGTATGCAGATCCTGTTGATATCAGAAATGCAAGATCATAGTTTGTTGAATGGCGCAATAACGATCGATGGTTGTCGCTGGTTAAGTTGCGGCGGGCAAGGCAGTTAACTAACTGAAAGCAACAAACAACAAACCAAGTCCACCGCTTTCCTCTTAATCTTCCTCCGGCGGGCGCGTCTCCCGGCCAGGCCGCTCATGTGATCGAGCGGATGTAAACAAACCAAAAACGGAAAGCCCTAGCCGAGTCTCAAAGAGGACTAGCGCCCCCATCGCACACTCACACGGCGAATATCCGCCATCTTGAATAAATCTTCTCCATCATCGACGTCGACCACCGCACGCCCCGACACCCCCCCCTTCGCGACAACCCAGCTCGACTTCGCTTCCTCGTCGGACTGAACATATCGCAAAAATGGCCACCGAGTTGACCGTCCAGTCGGAACGTGCGTTCCAGAAGCAGCCTCACATCTTCGTCAACCCCAAGACCATTGCGAAGAGCAAGAAGGTTGCCTCCGGCCGCAGATGGTACAAGGATGTCGGTCTGGGTTTCCGTACCCCCAAGACCGCCATTGAGGGCACCTACATCGGTATGCACGACCTACACCAAATCTCTGCGGAGTGATCAGATTTCGATTTTTCGCGGCAAAGCACGGGGAAAGTTTCAGGGTCCTTGAAGATGAGCCTTGCCACCAGGGATTTGACAATCGGAAGCGCAATACATACGACTTTGGTCACGACACGATGATTTGGCGCAAGAGGAGGGATCCTTGATTTTCAAATTGCGGAAGGATTTGATATCGTGGACCGTCGACAATGGAGCGCTTGACGAAATTCTTTAAAGATCTGGACATTCTCATCTTCAAGGGCTCGGGGAAACATCTCCAGACACTGCAGGAAAGGAGAGAGAGAGCAACAGGTCGCTAACATCAAGAACAGACAAGAAGTGCCCCTTCACCGGTCTGGTCTCCATCCGTGGTCGTATCCTGACCGGCCGTGTCGTCTCCACCAAGATGCACCGCACCATTGTCATCCGCCGTGAATACCTCCACTACGTCCCCAAGTACAACCGTTACGAGAAGCGCCACAAGAACCTTGCTGCCCACGTTTCTCCCGCTTTCCGTGTTGAGGAGGGTGACTGGGTTACCGTCGGCCAGTGCCGTCCCCTTTCCAAGACTGTACGTTGCCTCGATTCCGCCAATATCTTTCCTGGGATCTGTCAGGGGTAGTATGGCTTTGTCCTTGATCAACCGATGGGATGCGACAAGGCCATTACAATGCTCCTGAGAAGACCCAGGTTCAACCCCTTCCGCGCACCATCTAACATGTTGACCTACAGGTCCGCTTCAACGTCCTCCGTGTCCTTCCCCGCACTGGTAAGGCCGTCAAGGCTTTCAGCAAGTTCTAAGCGTGTCGATGAGGAAGTGTTTTCGAGAGGAAAATAACCTAGGGCTGCGGCGTGACTGGATATACAATGGATTAGTTAAACGGGTTGGGATTGTTTCACGATTTCATGTCCCAGGTACCCTTGAGAAAGAATATCCAATGAAAAAATTCTTTTGATTCTCCTTAATGGCAGTCCACCGTGCAACACGCTTGGGCACGGCTCGGGCCTGTCCCTAGGTTCCACTTTGAATACTACACGGATTGAGCATTGAAATGTGAGGCGCATTCTTCGAATTCTACCTACAAATTTTTTTGGACGAGAAACGGAGTTAGGGTGGATTGTCTACGATCAACGGTCATCTCAAAAGTGTGCTTTAGCATAAGTACTGCCAAACAACAGCTCCTTGTTTTGCATTTGTTCAAATACTCGTCCACCACCTTAACATTGAGGTAAAGAGTTCTCAAATAGGCACTTCCCACTCATACCTAGTACCTTGAGCACACGCACATCATCCGCCCCCAGTTGCAAACATTTCGTAGACGAATCAGTTTCTCTTCCCACTGATCTTCCCCTTCATCTCATTGCCCGGAGATAAGTCGAAGTCCACACAAGCATAACGAGAGTACACGGAGATAGGCCATCGAGTAGCATCAACCCAGGATCATCCTCTGGCGCGCTCTGTCCAGAGAAAACTGGTATTGCCAGTCAATGTTTTCCGTACCTCTATTTCTTACCACGTTTGGTTCTGTGTCTACCTCCATGTTGTCGCACATGGCCGCGATAACGGAATCTGTAGCAACCAGATCCGACTCCTCAGACACAAGCGAGACGCAACTTCCCGCATCGGAACTTTCAAACAATCTCCGCGCACCAGACACATCTCTTGGTGGGAGCCCTTTCCCCTGACGCGAGAGGCCATCCTGCTGGGCGATCCACCGACCGGTATATGCGTCCCAAGTCTCGATGGCTGGGTACGAGCGGCGGTTTCGTCTTGGCCATTTGACAATTGCTTCATCGTCGTCATCTTCTTCCTCGGTCTCTTCCTCGTCATCGATGCGAGGTGTATGCGATCGGACGATGTCGGAATTGCACAGAACATAAGAGTCATCGTCAGCAGCACTGTGTCGGTCGTCCTGATCGAATGAGTCACGAGAAGGACGAATCTCGTTCTGGTCCCCATAGCAAGGTGGAGAAGAAGGGTAGCTACTACACTGGGTTTCAACGTGCATCATTTCGCCATTGGCCTCGGTCTGTTCATGATTGTGAGACCCATGGGAGCCACGCCGGACGACGACATAGCTGAAATCGTCTACAGAAGCCGGGCTTCGCTCATTGTCTTCGTCCTCACTGAGTCCGGCCTCAGTGACTGATTCGTCGTCGTCGTCGTCGTCGTCGTCTTCGTCGTCTGAGATAACATAGACCTCCCGATGCTGGTGTTCATCTGCAGTCATTGGGGTCTCAGGCGAAAGACCATATCCTGTACGTATACCCTCGTAAAATGCTTCCCCGGGATTGTCGGATTTCCGAAGACGCCAGAGATACCGAAGACGCCAGGAATAGAACATGCCTCGTCCGATTTCATCACTATACTCATATCGAACTTGAAGTAGAGACAGGAGCTTTCCAATGATGTTGCCAGATGTGTGATCGGAATAATGCCCTCGCTGTGAAAGCGCAGCTTTCAACGCATGTCGATTACACTTATACGTCGCAATGGTGTCGAGCTGAAGGAGTTGAGCAATATCTTTGTGCTCGTCTGCAATCTGTTCCAGTGTGCTGACTTTAAAGGAACAGATTATGTTAGAGGAGGGGACTTTCCCCCAAATCAAAAACTCCCCGGCGCCGTTGTAAAAGCTCTTTCCTACCCGGACTTTGTGTGTCCTGAACAAATCCCTGGCTGAGTACACAAAGTCAAGCCCCTTGGTATCAATCACGGAAATGAGAGCACCTTCTTTGTTCCGTATGGCACGGTGCACGGGTGAGAGCATGGACATGAACGTCGAGATGAATGGGGATGGAACCTCCTCTCTATGAACATGCTTCCGGAAATACTCCACGAACTTCTCTGGTCGTATTGTGTTCGGTGAGAAGTACCTGTCCCAATCATCGAAGAGACCCGCAACCAAGAGATTCTTCGTGTTGATGCCCTGCGAGTCGACATTCGACCACCGATACAGTACTGGCGGTATGCCGTCTTCTCTCAGTCTTGTATTTCCTCGTCTATTTGTGATCTGAACGCCTCTTCGTCGGACTTCTCCTGAATCATGTGTCTTGCAAATCAGAGTTACCTCCATGATGCGCTCCTGTACACACCAGAAACACTCTTTGTCCCCGTATTTGCAAAGGGTCCTGTCCTCATGCACAGAGACATCGGCCGGTTTCTCCTCGATCTCGTGGGTGATATACTCGTCAACGACTTCATCCACTCCCTCAGTGTCAAATGCCATGTCTGTGTCGTCCTGTGCCTGGGTCTGACTCTATATCAGTGCCAATTGCATGCATGCAAAGAGGCTTAGACTCACCGAGGTCCTGCGGCTGAGTGTGTGTATTGCACGTTCGTAAGTAGCAGCATCGATGGGATCCACCGTATTCTCCCTGAGGCGTATATCTAAGGATCTCAAAGTCCTGCGGATGGTCGCAATGAAGGGCGCCCACCGTCCATCTTTATCGAAGGGAGACAGATGGACGTCAACCCAGTCCGGGAGCACTTTTGACTTCAAGTGGTGCCATTGGCCGCGAAGTCTTTCTTTGGGAGCACCATCTCTAAAGCCTGCGTTTCTCAAATCGCCTCGATAGACGGCGTCGAATACTGCCTTGTAAGCGTTGATATCCCGATCCCAGAATCGATACAAACAACAGAGAAATTTTCTTTTCTCCGAGTCCCAGCTAATCAGAGGCTCCATTGCTGTGAAGTTCAGTCCTCCTGATAAGGCCATCTGAGCCAGTCGAGGTTAGGGATAGTGCAATGTGAGCAATGAGTGGGTAAGGTTGGGGACTGGGGGGGCAAGGAATATGAGACGAAAGGGTATAGAAGCAACACCTTCAGATGAGAGGTCAGACTCACTGCAAAGTCCTCGACAGATAGAGCAATCTAGATTTGTGGAGTAGACTGAGTAAATGTCACTTGAGGAATACTTTTGGCCCCCCTAGGCGAGTGCTGAGTGTGACCATGTTTTACTCAAAACTCACTTTGTGTTACTAGCCCTGAGAGCAAGGCATGGAACACCAAAAAGAAAAGAGAATGCTACTTGATCTACAGAGGAAGAAGGATTTCAGTATAGGTAGGCTTTCATTCGCTGCATCTTGCTCTTCATTGTAGAGCGGACATGAACTATATAAATGTCACTGTACCCGAGCACAGTAATGACCTATCACTTTTGACTAACTCAGCAGGCTGAGGCTGAAAGCCGCTCTGAGAATACAAGAAGTATATTGTGGGTAAGACTTCAGTACTTGATGTTATTGTACTTCATTTAAGGAAGCTGTCAAACCTTCTCGAAGGGCTGCAGCAGCTGTGACGTGCAGCAAGCATAACTTACCAAAGGCTTTGTCAAAGACATTCGAACCGGCCGAACCCGCACTAGGTAGTTCTCAGCCTAAGGCGACCAAGCGCAGCTCCACTCCACCGCAACGCCCGGTCATCATCCCCGACGGGCCTCAAAGCTCCCTCTTCCACTTTCAGCCGGGATTCTTCCTTTCCTCCCCTCTTCTCCCCTCTTCTTCCCCCCCGCTTGTCTGCATTCTTTCTCTCCAGTTATTCCACAACCCCCCGCTGTCTCTCCGGGCTTGAGTCCGATAGGGTTTTCGCTTCAACCCGATCGTACCGATTGCCATCTGGGATTCCTTTCCGTCCCCACTTCGTCATCGACAGACCGCGTTAGGCATCATCCTCAATAAAGGTTCCACAGTATGGCTACTTGAGTGATCATGATTATTCTTAGCATTGGCGTGGATAGATCAATTGGCACTCGACTCTTATAGACACTTGATATAACTACCTCCAACCACTTCAGTCCTTGCTACCCCCTCCCCAATATTTCGACATCGAAGCCACGGTGCCGCCCCTGATTCTTATCTCCGCTCCACTGCCATCGCACCACTCAACTCCCAATCTTCAACATGTCCCATAACTTTGAGAAGTCGGTGAAGGGGGCTACCAAGGTCAAGGTTAGTCAAGGGACGATGATGGCTGCCCTGAGGCGATCTGCGCACATGCTAATGGCCGTGCTCTTCGACAGCTCGCCGCCCCCAAATCCAAGTACATCGAACATATCCTGGTCGCGACGCATACAGGCGAAGCAGGTGTGGCAGAGATTTTCCGGACCTTGCAGCTCCGTCTCCGCGACTCAACATGGACAATCGTCTTCAAGGCTCTGATCGTGATCCATTTGATGATCAGGGAGGGCCAATTGGACGCCACGTTGCAGTACATGGCAGAGAACCCCCAAAAGTTGGCAATCAGTGGATTTTCGGAAGGTGAGCAGCTTTTAGTGCAAGAGAGGCATATGAGGGTCGCTAAATTTTAGGCTTGGGTGTAGTCCAGTCGCAGGGCCATAACATCCGGAGATATTCCGAGTATCTCCTGGCGCGCGCAAAGGCCTTCGAGTCTACCAAGACCGACTACGTGCGAAGCGGCCAGGGCCGGATGAAGCGCCTGACGGTCGAGAAAGGCCTTCTGAGAGAAACCGAGATTGTTCAAAGACAGATCCGAGCGTTGCTCAGATGTGACGTGTGTTACCCATAACCTTTGTCGCAATCGTGGAATTACGACTGACCAGGCTTCAGCTTCTAACGGACGATGTTGAGAACGAGATCTCATTGACCGCGTTTCGTCTGCTCACGTTGGATCTGTTGACTCTTTACTCGGTCATGAACGAGGGAACGATAAATGTCCTGGGTAAGTGTCTCTTACTGTCATCTGGATCGCACAATCCTTACATGACCTGCGATTAGAACACTACTTTGAGATGTCACGTCCCGACAGTGAACGTGCGCTGGAGATCTATAAAACATTTACCCAGCAGACGGAAGAAGTGGTCAAGTTTCTCGGCGTAGCTCGGCATTTCCAATCCGCGACGCGTCTGGAAATCCCTAAGCTGAAGCATGCTTCTACTGATCTGACTCGGCTTCTTGAGGACGATTTGAACGACCCCGATTTCAATCTCCGCCGCCGCGAGTACCTTGCTCGTAAACAGGGCAAGAGTGTTGGGACACCATCCTCTGTGCCCAAAAATGCCACCGGTGACCACGCTGTTAACCACGCAGCCTCTCCTTCGGCTCGGCCACAGACACAGCCCAATCCGCAAGCTCAAGCGAAATCGAACCCGGTAGATTTGATCGACTTCTTCGACTCGATCGAGCAAAATCAGCAGCCGATGGCACAGCAAAACGCGTACCAACAGCAACAGTTCCAGCAGCCGCCGCAGGCCATGCAGTTCCAACAAGCAGGCTTTCAACCACAGCAGCAGCCATTCTATGCACAGCAGACCGGCTTTCCACAGCAGCAGATGCAGCAACAACCACAACCGACGGGTTTTGGCCAACAGTCACCGCCATTTGGGCCTCAATTCACTTCGCAGACTCAGCAATTCAACCAACCACAAGTTCCACAGCCTCTCCAGCCCGACCACACTGGGGCCGGCTTTGGTGGCTACTCAGCGCAGCCCCAAAATTATGGTTACCAACCTAACCTGGCTCCGATCCCGCAAAACGATGTTACTGCATTCCCGCCGCAGCAACAGCAGCCGCAGCCGCAACAGCAACTGGCGCCGGGGGCTCAACCACACCTCCTGCAGCCCCAATCCACCAACCCGTTCAGACAGTCGATGTTGATGAGCACGCCGACCGGATCGGCCGCTCCACTTGACCGCCAGAATACCAACCCGTTCGCGCGGCGGCTTTCGACAGCGAGCCCGCAATTCAACACTGGTGGTCTTGAGGCGTTCGCACCGGCACAGGCGCAACCACAGGTTCAGGTGCAACAGGCAGCGCCGCTTCAAGCGCAGCGCACGGGAACCAACCCTTTTGCCCGCAGCTCCTCCGTACCACCCCAGCAATCGCAGGGGCTACAGCCTCCCGCGGCGGCACCTCTCCGGCCAAACCCCACGGGAAGCACCAATCCATTCCGCCAAAGTGCCTTTGTGAACCAACAAACTGGCCAGGGGTGGCATGTTGGTGGCCAGCAAGGCACAATGGGTGGATTGGAGCAACTGGACACGGTCCCCATCTTCCCGCGACCGGGTATGTAGATACGGAATGGTGGGGAGAGAGAATATTTGTAGATAGAAAGATTTCTGTCGCTGCTGCTTGCGGACGGCGGACCTAATCGTTATCTTGTGTGTCGGTAGTGTCGTTCCTTGTCGACCTTACCACCCACTACCCCTTGGCTCACTTAATACTTGTCATTATTGACTGCTTCGATGCATTTGCCATTCTGTTTCACTCCCCTGCCCTACGTGTACGGGCTTGAGGATGGTGAGCTCGCAGCGCGGGCGCGACTGCTTCAATTTGATCCTGTATTGATACCTACCTAGCTATACCGAGCGGTGTTAGCGTTCAGGAGAACATATAAATCAAACGTGTAAATTGCGATTGTATTATGAGCGGCGACTGCCACTTTGAAATCAAAGATGAAAGCACTCAATCAAATGGACACACTCAGTATTGTCGACCCCTCTCAAGCAAAGGCATCCAGGCTTCATCGAAGAATCCAATTCCCGATACACAGCTATACATCCGGAACCTACGCACCCGGTAAGCCGACTAAACGTACAGAGTACATACAACTCAAGAATTATACTTAATGCTCGTACATAATTACCCCCTTGAGCCTAGACCACCTTCAAGACTGCTAACGTAGTAGGGGAACCTGAAGACCCAACTAGCAGAAAAGAAGGAGCAATCAAGTCAGGACGCAGAAGTGGAGGAGAGGGGAGGTGCCCAGCCCCAGCCCCAGCCCCAGCTCGTAGCCTAGACTATAGGTTCAGGTTGATGATTTTGATTCGACTCTACGGAGCGAGAGAGTCGAGAAAACTCCGTAATTGTGGACCGGCCGTGCCAGCCAGAATCGGCTCGTTCCGCTCGGGAAGAACATCGGGAGAATTTTGGTTACTACATCACTACATACGTAACTCCGTGGTATGTAAGAGAATGGAGGATTGGATTGATTCTTGGCTCTAGAGAAGAACACTACCTGGCAAAGCCCGAGGATCGGATCTCACGGTCTAGCGGTGATTGTGTTTGACTTCTGTCCAGAGTTTGAGGGAAGGTGATGTGCATATATACAACCCGTCTATATACTCATAGCTGGGTCGGAAACAAGGATGAGCGGAGGAAGGTGTCGTCTCTTCTCCGTCCTTTTCTTTTCTGCAAAGTCTACCCGTAGAAAAACAGGAAAATAGCCTTGAAGAAAATAGATGGCAGAGTTAGAGGAAAAAAAACTCTGGCGACCCACAGCGGAGGAGTTTCTTACTTCTTACGGGCTATTATCTACATAAGTCTTACGTGCTATGTATGCGTGTCGATGAAAGTAGATTCTACTCCGTGCTGAGTTGAGGCGAGGAACTTCGAACGCGGAGCGCTTGTCTCCATTTAGTGAGACTCAGTAGCATGAATATATCTGGAACAATTGATTATCGGGCTGCATATCTCTACACCGGGCGCGCGAGAGAACGATTGGAGGGAAATTCTATAGCAAAGCCTCTTTTCGACTTGGACAGGAAGTATACTCCGTGCTCAGCTCCGCTAGCTAATCCGTGTTTCCGTGGTCAATGAGGGACATGGGATGATTCCTGTGGGTTGAGGCGTGTATGGAATAGATACATTGTCGGGCAGCTTCTTCATTATGAGACTCCTGTTCGAGACGGTGTCGGTGTAGTACTGTAGTTACGGGGTTTGTTGTGGATTAAGCGAAGAGCGATGGTTTGAAGCATGGAAG